GTGGGGGTGTCCCCATGCCCTTCACTGCCCCCCCAGGACGGTGGTGATGCCCATTGCCAACGAGTTCTCCCCGGACCTGGTGCTGGTCTCCGCCGGCTTCGACGCCGTCGAGGGTCACCTGTCCCCCCTCGGTGGCTACTCTGTCACAGCCAAGTGTGAGTGGGGTCTTGGGGTGTCCCTGGGGAGGGGACCCCAGCCCAACCATCCCTCACCCACCCCTGTGTCCCCCAGGTTTTGGGCACCTGACGAAGCAGCTGATGATGCTGGCGGGAGGCAGAGTGGTGCTGGCGCTGGAGGGGGGGCATGACCTGACAGCCATCTGTGATGCCTCTGAGGCTTGTGTCTCTGCCCTGCTCGGCCTGGAGGTATGGAGGTATGGGGGGACACCCTTGGGGACCCTCTAACCCCTGGGAATCCCCCCCAGCCATGCCCTAGGTGGGGGGGTTATTAGGGCACACCCTGCGTTGTGCCTCAGTTTCCCCTCACGGGTTGGTGAGGGGATCCCATCCCTTCCCTGCTCTGGGCAGGGACGTTTTGGGGGTGCTGGTGGCAGGTTTATGGGTCTGATGGTGTGTGTGTCCCCCTGCCCCAGTTGGAGCCCCTGGATCCATCACTCCTGCAGCAGAAGCCGAATGTGAACGCCGTGGCCACACTGGAGAAAGTCATCGAGATCCAGAGTGAGAAGTGGGGGGCAGGCACAGACCCTGGGGGTCTCATTGGGTCCCCCAGGGCTCTTCCTGGGATTCTGTCCCTGCCATGGGGGTCTTAGGGGTCTCCTGGGTTTGTCTCTGTCATGGGGTTCCTGGGGGTCCCCTGGGTCCATCCCAGCTGTGCTGGTTCCCTGGCACAGTTGCCCTAGGTTGTCCCTGCTATGGAGTCCCCCAGGTCTGTCCCTGCCCAGCCATGGAGGTCTTGGGGTTCCCCTGGGTCTGTCCCTGCCATGGGGGTCTTGATGGTCACTGGGTCCATCCCAGCCATGGGGGTCTTGGGATTCCCCTGGGTCTGTCCCAGCCATGGGGGTCTTGGGATTCCCCTGGGTCCATCCCAGCCATGGAGGTCTTGGGGTTCCCCTGGGTCTGTCCCTGCCATGGGGGTCTTGATGGTCACTGGGTCCATCCCAGCCATGGGGGTCTTGGGATTCCCCTGGGTCTGTCCCTGCCGTGGGGGTCTTGATGGTCACTGGGTCCATCCCAGCCATGGGGGTCTTGGGGTTCCTCTGGGTCTGTCTCTGCCATGCTGGCTGGGGGAGGTCTTGGGTCCCTTGGTCCATCCCAGCCATGGGGGTCTTAGGGTTCCTCTGGGTCAGTCCCCGCTGTGGTGTTCCTGGGGGTCCCCTGACATGGGGGTCTTGGGGTTCCTCTGGGTCCATCCCAGCCATGAGCTTCCTAGGGTTCCCCCAGGTCTGTCCCTGCCGTGGGGTTCCTGGGGGTCCATCCCAGCCCGGGCATCCCTGTCCTGTCCCCCCAGGCAAGCACTGGGGCTGTGTGCGGCGCTTCGCGGCGGCCGTGGGTCGGACCCTGCTGGAGGCTCAGCGTGGAGAGGCCGAGGAGGCTGAGACAGTGACAGCCATGGCTCTGCTCTCGGTGGGCGCCGAGCAGGGAGGGGGAGACCCCCAGCCCAGGTATGGCCCTGGGGGGGGCATGGAACCATGTGAGTCATTGGTGGGATGTGGGTGTCACTGTGGAGCCAGATCTGTTCTCAGGGGAGGCATGTTATCCCTGGGGATGTGCATGGAGACACGTGTGTCCTTGGGGAGACACATGACCTGTGCATGGAGCCAGGTGTGTCCTCAGGATCACATGTTCCTGGGGTTGTACATGGAGCCAGGTGTGTCCTTGGTGGGGTATAAATGTGTCCCTGGGACTAGGCATGGAGCCAGGTGTGTCCTTGGGGACACACATGTCCTGTGCATGGAGCCAGGAGTGTCCTTGGAGGGGGATAAATATGTCTCTGGGACTGTGCATGGAGCCAGGTGTG